AAGTAAGGGAATGCTTTTTGTGCATGAGTAAAGGACCATATTTGTGCTTTTGTCCTTTTAGCTGTTCCAAAGACCGAATGCACTTGCTGTTCAACAGCTAACAGCAGCACAGCAGCAGCAGTACGCCTTGGCAGCTGCTCATCAGCCTCACATAGGTAAGTCTTGCACTTAATATATTACATTTTACTGAACTTCTGTTAATCCACAAAATACATAGGGAAAATATGAGGGAAGAAAGTTGGTAGGTTTTAGAGAATCCTAAATGTGTTTTTGCAACTGGTAATTGACACGCAAGCAGAAGTATGTTGCTTGAAGATTTACTTAAATTCTGGAGGTGCCTTGCACGGTTTAAAAGCTCTAGAGCATTCACGTCTGGCAGAAATGACACTCTTACCCTAGCTGAGAGTGCTGTTCAATAATGAGAGTGTTTTGAAGTACTTGCTTGCTCTGAGTGAGGCATGAATTAGGGTAAGTGGCACAGTGAAGTGAAGGAAAAAAAATGCACGATTCAATATATGTCTGAATGTGCTTCCTGTGGTTCAGCTGCCTGGGATCTGACTTTAAGTTAAAGATGTAATTTATGCAAACACATGATTCATATTCTTACAACAGTATAGATTAACTGGGAAGAAAGCACTTAATCCTGTGCATAGAAAACCAGGAGAACTGTAGAAGGGGCTACACATGGATGATTAAACTATTTTAGGGTTAAACGTTTCTAGCACAATAGGCAATTTAAGTGGTAGTTCTTCCTACCAGAAAGCCCCATACAAATGTGTTGGGACTCTCCAAACTATTTACAGTGCATTTGTGTGCTTATTGCTGTTCAGGGGTAGACCTGAATTAAAATGATTGAGCTTTTTAACTTACTCCCCTTCACCTCCCCTCCACACCCCTCTCTGTTTTCTCTAATGATTAAACTGTTCCCTTGCAGAGGAAGGTAATGCCTACAGGGCAGTGATAGTGCCCTGCAATGTTGCCTGGCACTCCTGAGCTCCTTCCAAACTAATTAAATGAAGTACTGGTATTGCATAGTGAGCATGGAACTCGGAAAGTAGGGGAAATTGGTTCTTGATCAACTCGCTATAGAAAATACAGAATAGTAAGAAGCCATTGGAGAATATTAATATCTAGCTGGTGTTAATAGTCACCTAAACAGTAAGGGTGTGCCTGTGCTGCAGAGACACCTGAGCAAGTATGGGTATATAGAGACCACTTCAGCTTTTCTTAGGGGCATTGCATCCATAGGATTAGGTTTCTTTTATGTAAACCATATCCTCTGTAGGTTGTTCTGTTAAGCAGTGGTTGCTCACTCCCTATAGAAAGCAACCTGTAAAAAGCTTAAAAGTACTAAAGCGACCTGAGTTTTTGTGTTTGCCAGCCAGGTAGCCAGAGATATTTTGGTAGGGCTTCAGTTCTAGTTAAGTTTGTTTTTACTGACAGGTATGTTTTCAGCAGGTTTAGCTCCTGCTGCCTTTGTCCCCAATCCATACATCATCAGCGCCGCTCCGCCAGGAACAGATCCGTACGCAGCCGGACTTGCAGCAGCTGCAACATTAGGTGAGATGCTTCCAGTTGTCTGTGTATTTGTGACCATTTTCTGTACCAAAACTGCTCTTAAGTCTGTGATTGTGGAAATGAAATATTAGTACATTGTGATCTCTGTGGATAATTGTATATCAGTAAGATGAAACAGAATTCGTCTTGGAAACCCTATTTTCTTTAGATGAAATGTGATAATTCTTGTATAACACTTGCTGTGGGCTCTTTCTGTTGAGGATAAACAGGCAGAGCAAATCTGAAATGAAACACTTGCAGACATGAATGTTGCTACATGTTTGGGTTTTTTTGGTAACTGACAGTAGTGAGAGATACCTTTGAAAATATACTTATTAAATGCTAGAAACATGGAGAATGTGTTTTCCTGCAAGAAAGTTATATCTTGTTGCTGTTTAGCCTGATTTACTGTAGTGCATCCTGCAAATGATGTCTTTCCCTTTTGCTAGAGCCTGTTAAGAAGTTATGCTTTTTAGGTTCTCTAGGTAAAAACATCCCATATCTGCTGTGAGGCTTAGACTATGAATATGTAGTTTTCCAGATGGCAGGCAAAGATGGTGGCTCTTGTCTTTGTGCAAGATCTTTCTCCTAAACGTTCATGTATCAGTTTCCAAATTCTTGCCAACTGTCATAGCCAAAATTGTTGTATCTTGAGATGACAGCTCGGTAAAACAGCTTATCAGGCAGTGTGAAGAACACATTGTACGTTGAACTTTTGCTGCGTATGCCATAAAGTTCTTGCCTAAACATTGAGGACAAAGGAAGAATGTACTTTCAGAAAAGCATTTTTGTAACCATGCTTTTCTTTCCATGAGCCACTGGGAGAGGAAGCCTTCTGCATTTTAAATAAAAACTGCTTAGTTCAGAGTAGTGGTGATTTTTAGTGAAACCTGCACACGGTTGCCACACCCCGCTTACAATTTATATACTCAAGGCAAATCTCTTCCACTGTGAGTTAACTTGTACCAAATCAAAACCATAAAATGTTGGTTATATGTGAATGTAGTGCTCTGCCAAACAGTGTTGTGGTTTGGTATGGGACTTTTTGGCATGTTTAACAGCTTTTACATAACCACTGCTTAGCTTTTAAGCTTTGAGGCCAGTATCAGGTCAAGCTGTGAAATGGGATTTTAGCAACTGTTGCCCAGTTGGACAGCATTTTTAGTGGATCATATTAAAGTACATAAAGAAGCAAGATTATCATTTGAAGATGGGCTTTGGACTTTTTGGCTGTTGTGAATTTTGCATGCTGATTGCTATAATAACAATGCAAGTTTAAGTTTAGGTAACAACATGCTGGCAAACAAAGGACGCTGATTAAATAAAGCCACAAGCTAGAGTACAGGGATATTTCTAATAGCCCAGGATTTGATAAACTATCATGTGATGATGAATGTGTGGCAGTGAATGAAGGACCTGAACTCTTGGTGGCTAATATAAGTAGGAAGCTTCAGTCAGGACTTACCAGGGAAGAGGTGCTAGAACATTAACAATTCCAGTGACAGTCTGAAGAGGTGCTCTGTAAATGAATGCTATAAAAGAGTTTCTGGTTGGCCTTTTTGCATCACCTCAGTGCTTCTAAAGCTAGTCCTCATTCTGGTAGCACACTGAAGTTCAGTGGAGCAGGAGGTCAGCATCTTGATGTCACAGAAAGACCACATGTAACTGCTGCCAGATCTGTAAGAAATGGCAAGTGTGTTTGCAACAACTTTCCCCCCCCCCCCCCCTTAGCAGTGTTAAAGCTGCCTGAATATCTGATTAGGGCTTTATAAATTTGAACTAGAAGTTAGCATACCCCAGGATACCTAAAGCATCCCAAAACTTGGCATCAGGTTCCCTACTTGAATAATTTTTAAAGTTTGACTCTTGAAAGCAAAACAAAAGAATGTGTAATGTGCTGCAATGTACTTAGTGTAACACCACTGAGAAATATGAATTACTTCATCCATCTCGTAGGTTTTGGACCCAAACAGCTAGAAATGGCAATATAACAAACTTCACTCCTTGTTGTTGTTTGTTTTATGAAAAGTGCCTTTTCTGTCCATCTCAGTTTGTTTCAAAAGCCTTTTCTCTGTAATGACCGATTGCAGGGCTGAAGGGGCGTGGGGCAATTTAGATAATTAGAGTTATGTATAAACTCAGAAGGCTTCCTTGATGCCTATGGGAGTGTTAGATTGGGGGGACTTGGAGAAGTTTATGAGGTGGAAGAAATGCATTTAGAGATGTTTGTAGTTTATTGTTCATAGTCTTAGAGTGGAGGGGAAACTTTTCTGTGTTTTATGGTGGAGATAATTCTGTCAATTAAGATTCTGTTGTTATGGCAGCTTTTTCATGATTGTAAGACTGTCAGCCCTGTGATAATACTCTTTTCTTCCCAACAATAATAGCATTTTAAAGAACAAATTTGAATGCAGAGGGAAAGGCTTCCTAGACTCCAGAAAAAAATCACTTGTGAGTTTAAACCATGAGGAAGATACTGCTCTCTTTAAAATATGTTGTGAAATTGCCTTCTATCATTTGAGAAAGATGTCACTCAAAGAAAAAAATCTTGCCTTTTGTAAGCCAAGTTGGGAAATGTTGATTCCCTCTGAGGTGGTGTGTTACAGGTAGAAAAGTGTTTTTTTCTTTGTAGAGAAGTGGATGCTGGGATAATCTGCATGCAGGAAAAACACAGTGCTCCTAGACTGAAGGTAGAGTTGGTCTGGATGTCTGCACTGTGCTTCACAAGCTTGGGTTTCTTAGAAGCCTCATTCATCTGGGGCTTCAGCTCAGAGTTGGCGACAGGTATGGATGCAGCATGCATGGTGCCTAGACCCGGGGCCGGGGGAGCACGTGCAGCTGGCTCTTCCCCAGCCGCCTGGGCCACGGTGTCATGCACGGGTGCTTCTCCTGGGTCTGTGCGGGCCCCAGGCACTGTACGGCAGGGTTTGCATGGGGCTGCACCACAGCTGTTGGGGTTCAACTCTTTCTCACCCTTCTCTGTACAAAGACACCACTTCGTGGATATCTGCAGTTGCCCGACTGATAACTGTGAAGTGATGAGCCTACAGGTCGCTAATATTTGATAAAGTTGGTATTTGCGGCCTTGTTCTCAGACTTGAGGTTCTTGAGGCCAGTTAACCTGGTGATCAGTACGTCCTCATCCTTCACAAGAGGGGGCTGGCTGTTCCTGCAGAGAGCTGGCTTCTGCTTACAGAGATTTGAGAGTGAAGGCTGAGATTAAAAGCAAAAATTTTGTTATGAACACACTTACAGATGGATTTGCTAATGTTTCTCGAAAGGAATATTTGTGGGTGTCTGTGGCCAATGTGTGAGACATAGCAGTGGGAATATTTGATTTCAAAGGCACTAGAATGTGCCTTCTTATGTATGTGTATCTTTAATAAGTGTAAAAGCAGGTGCAATATCTCCTGAAGTAAAGAAACACTTTGTGTGTCTTTAAGTCTGGCAATGATGACACACTTGCCCTCACTGAGAACACTGTTCAATAATGAGCTTCACCATGTGTTCAAATGAGCTGAGCCAGACTTGCAGCTCTTTTAAGCCTAGCTGCCTGCAAACTTCAAAGACTTTGTCTCCTCTTCTTTAAACACCTGAGGCTTTTGCAGATGTGATGAGCAACCTCTGACTAGGAAAAGAAACCCATCTAGACTATGCTTGTTTGATAATTAGAACTGAGATTAAAATAACCTGTCGAGATGCCCAAATTTTGCCCAGGTAAAGGGTACTGCAGCAACTTCCCAGTAGCCTAGGGGCAAACACAGACCAGTTACTTGCAGAAAATGGAGCTGTTGCAACCAACTATTTTCCTGTTGAGTGGAGGAGCACCTTAGCAGCTGGGGTCTGATCTGCATTGACTGAATACAGACAGGTGATAATCCACTGATTAGCTAGGTGTCTGTAACTACTTAGGTTAAGATAGGCAGTAGCGTTGTGGGACTGATTAATTTTCTGCAGTTTTTTTTCAGTAGCGTTGTGGGACTGATTAATTTTCTGCAGTTTTTTTTAATTTTAGCTACGACTGCTTGTGAATTCCCAGATTGGAAGGTAAGAAATAAGTGGTTGCTGCTCCAGGACAAATCTGAGTAAGACAGAGAAGTCATCTTCTCTGACTGATGGTACACAATAAATTCAGCAAGGGTGGATTTCATGGCAGAGCTTTAGTGTGAGATACAAATCTGACTGTTCGGTGTGTATCGCTGAAGTGCCTGGCCTTAGACAACAGGCTACCTGTACCATCTGCCTGCTGCACATAGAGCTGGGCGTGTGTGTGAATGATGCTACAGAGCCCTAAATTTGGGGAAAGCACAGTGGTTGAAAACAAAATAATAAAGGAGAATAACTGTTACACTTTTGAAATATGAACTTAATATTTGATTAAATATTAAATTAATATCTTGAAGTGTTGCTGAATCTCACCAGTCTGCAGTATTGATTGTGGGAGCAGGAGTTCATCCAGGCTGAGATCCAGACTGCTGCACAGTGGATTGCTTTTGCATTATGTAGTAGCTCATTTGAGACAAACAGATGTTACTGTATAAAAAAAAATAAAAAGAAAAAAGTACTTCCTGGATTTTTCTCCCTTGTCATACCCAAGCTTACTCTCAATAGTGTCTTTTTGCATCTTCTATTTTATTGTCATCCCTTATTTTGCGAGGGAATATTTTTAAGTCTCTTGCAACAAACACTCATAGTCTTTGTGTGTTATACTTGTTCTCCTTGCAGTGTCTTACTGTAAGACGTAACTAACAGCAGTACTAAAATGGCTTGGTTAGGACCATCAAATGCTAGCCATCTCCCTTAAAATAGAAGCTATTTTTACTCCATATAAGAACAAGTGTGTGGTTCAAATTCACAAAAGACTTGTTTATTCTACAGTGTCAAATACAACTGTGGCACTCTACCTTAAAAAGGCTAGCATGCCATAAGTTACTCCTACTGTGGGGAGGGAACCCGTGGGATAGGTGATGTATTTGAAACTTCTACTTTTCTGCTGACCTTTCCAAAAGATATAGAAAAGACATATTAAAAATATTATTGGATTCACATGTGTTATTTGTTGGGAGGGACTCCACCACTCAGTGCAGAGCACTCGCTGCTTCCTCAGCATTATGCCAACCAGAATTATTTAAAGATAGGCTGCCACTCTGCTATCACCAAATTAAGTGTGTGGTGTCCTGAGACTTGGTTAAATACAATGAATCTTCAAAAGTTATGCTTTTTCTCATGCTCTCCAAGATTATTTTTTTTTAATAAGTCTCTTAAGTTGGAGGAGGAGGATGGAGTGTGAAGAGATACAGGATCATACAGCCTCTTCTATGGTGCTTTGCATTTGCAAAGTAGGACTGAGTGGCTAGAAAAATAATATTTTAAACACTTGAGAATTGATGCTATCCAGATGCAAAGGGGTTTTTTTTAATTTATCGGGGAGCTAAATGTTAGATGTTATTGAGCTCTGAAAGTCAGCTGAGATTAGAAGAGACTTTTATATCTCTGTGCTTAAACAAGTTTCCTTCTCTTTTGGTTAGAGATAAAGTTTTTTTCCTTCACTATAAAATTAGAGCATAACAATAAAAATGTGGAATTTCAACAGGATCACGGGTAGCAGAATTTGACCTCAGCCAATAAGGTAAAAGCAAGTAAAGATGAAATTTCAGGTCTGACTTCTAAGCTTTTGAAAAAACTAATAATACAAATGCCAGAATCCCTCTGTATTTGCAAAGGATTTAAAGCGGATCACCTTGAAATAGGATTTGTTAAACCAAACATGATGAGCAGGTGTTTTTTGGCGACGGTTTGCTGTGTAATGCTTGTCACGCTACAGAAGCTCACTCTGATTCCCTTCGCATTTTAGGCCCAGCAGTTGTCCCTCACCAGTACTATGGAGTTACGCCCTGGGGAGTTTATCCTGCCAGCCTCTTCCAGCAGCAAGCTGCCGCGGCTGCCGCTGCAACTAATTCAGCAAATCAGCAGACCACTCAGCAAACCCAGCAGGGCCAACAACAGGTAAGGGGTAGGATGCTTGCCACATCAAGTCATTTACAGGGAACACAGCAGCTTTGAAGAATCCTGACTTTTTTTCAGTGACCACTCCTGACACTCAATTGTAATCGAGGAGAAGAGCCCTTGAACTCTCTTAAAAAAGGAGAAGAAACATCTATACATCTGTTATGTCATTTCTGCATCACAAACACAGAATATAGCACGCATATTTTTTGGTGATGAATTATTACGTGTTAATGCTTTGGAAAACAAATAATCTAATCAGTTTGTGAACACTGAGTGATGCAGTAGCAAACACGTGCCGTTGGCATGCGAGTGGAAATCATCATCTTGCAATTTGAAGGCCATGGAGATGATGATAATGTGTGTCAAATACTAAATGTCAGTAAGTATGTTCTTATCTTCAGGGTGGTGTCTAGTATAGGATGCAGTATAGTGAAGACTAGCTTTAAAGGGTCAAAATAACAGCAAAATTAATTAGTTTGATATCCAAGTAAGGACTTGAAGACAAAAGATGAGTACAAAAAGAAAACATTGAATTTGCTGTTTTTATAAGGTGAACTATGCAGCTGTTTTGCTTTAGTCTGCACAAAAATTTGGAGAATTTGACACCTAAAAGAAGAAAATTAAGTTAATGAAGGTTTTTCTTATGATCTACTGTTACCCCTATAAGTGTGTTAGAGGTGAATATTGAGACAGCTATCTTGTTTAAGTGGCATTTTGCTTTTTTTTTTTTTTTTTTTTTTTTATAAATGAAGGGGTCACACTGGGGGCTGATAAGGGGAACTTTTTTCTTTTGTTGAAAATTGTTATGTGTCTTTGTGATGAATCACTGTAAGTTCTTGTTCACTTTTGGTGGTTCTCCTCCCCCCTCGCCCTCCCTTGGAATTTAACTAGGTTAATTTTCCTAATTTCAGTTAGGTAAAATAAGCATTGTAAAAGTCTGGTGTTTAATCATAGTTGTACCTCTGATGCAGAAGACACAAATGTGAACCTAGCAGCTGCTGGAGCAGAAGGTGAAAACTGAAAGACTGGTATGAGAATTAATAGGGAACAATAATTTTCTTCCTTTACTATAACAAAAAAACATCCTGAATATTTTATGAAGTTGTATGGGAGTGTAGATTGTTAACTTGCTATTTAAATCAGTGCTTAAAAAAAAATAATCCAGACTTTCAGACTAAGCTGATGGTTGCTAAGCCTGTATAGTCAAGTTAAATGCTAGAAGGATGAGAGGCATCCCCCGTCCTTGTTCTGTTTCTTGTTCCCCTTGGACATGCAGTTGGATATAGTCTGCTGTTCTCCTTCCAGGCCTCGGAAGGGCCCGTAGGATGGATGTCAAGAACCAGACTCGGGCTTCGATTACCTGGTTGGCTCTCCAGCACAACCCCAGCTAGTTTGTCTGGTATTTGTTAAGTGCTGGTCCTCGTCTGACACTGGCTTTGTACAGTTTTATCGGCCTTTATCCCACAGCACTTCCTGCTGTGAAACAAAATGGTTCGTTATCCTACTGAAAAGTGAGTCGGCTCCTTTCTCATAGTAACACAGAGCCTTCCTTTCTGGTCCTTCTGTGTTTGAGAGAGCAATTGTAGAAGACAGCAATTGGCAGCTGAATTTATTAGCTTCTGGTTTGAAAACTAAAGCAAAAATTAGTGTTTGGTAGTATTATAAGGCCTTTTCAGATGATAAAAGCAGTGATGTTTCACACCAACGATTCTGGACCGGTAATCGGGAGAACTCTGCTCTTGACAAAGTTAATCATCAAACCTCCCCACCTGGCAGGCCACAGACAGGAGTGTGTTGAACAGACCTCCTGCACACACCCATGCGCACAGGTAAAATGGCATTAAGAGTGTGTTAAAGCCATTTATGCTTTGCCATTCAAACTGGGAGCCTTTCCCCGTCAGGAAGATGTGTGCTACGATAGGCTATTAAAATAAAAAATACCAGTCATCAGTAGGCTTTATAATGTTTTTCATTGCTTTTGTAGCCATGAAACAGGCATGAGTGGGGATCGTGGGTATTGTTTTTAATGCAAACCTTCCATCTGAAAGAGGATACAGTGTGTATTTTTTGGATGAAATTTTTCTAAGAAGTGCTGAGACAAATGTTTTGGAAGCCTAGAGCGACAATTATGGACAGTTGATTTGTGATGCTTATGACATCTTAATAGCATATTTATAAAAAACACCAACATTTCACTTCCTGCAGCCTGCCATCCATTGCCTATATTCTGTGCAGTGCCCTTGCACAGTGTGTGCTTACCAAGCAGCTGCAACTTGTGAGACTCCCTAGGCTGAAGAGTTCATGTTCAGGCTTTGACAGCGATAGCAAACTCTGGGATGCACGTCTAAATCGCTTAACTTCAGGATCCTCTCCCAGTCTCTCAGTACACAAAGTCATTTTTTCCTTTTAATAACTTTAGTGGGTGACACACACGATGTTACTTTTTTCAGTGAGGCATGCTGAGTACCAAAGGATGGCTTTTTTTAATAAGCTGACCTCTCTGGTGGGTGCAGACTCT